AAAAAAAAAAATCCAACCAAGAGCTATTTGATGCAATTTATACTTTAAAAGAATATTTGTACAGAATAGTAGCTGACAACTGTCATTAGCTTGTAAATGCCCAGTGCAACTTCACTACAACCAACCATTTGTTGTATATATTGTTAAATTTGATGGGCTTTGGTAATTGCTCTTCTTTGGTTGCAAACCTAGAATCCTAACATTTACATTACAATGTAGTGTGTGAGAAAGAAGGAGACCTGGGGATTTATTTCAAAAGCAGTATTACAGTAAAGGTTTGTCAGCTCTAAAATGTGTTATTCCATGCAGAGTTTCTCAAAGCTTTTATAATTCATTCCTTTAAAAGGCTTCATGCTCTTTAAAGGAAAAATTTAAACTGATGCAGAAGACCTTTATTTTCTCTGTTAACTTTGTATCAGTTATTTTAAAATAATAACGCCTAAGCACTTAACTTGTGAAACTGATGATTTTAATGAAATCCTCCAAATGTTATGTATTTTAGACTCTTGGATTTCTTTTATTTAAGCTCAACTCTGTCTACTTCTTGTGATCTGTGGTTAGTTACTCTTTCATATATAAAAAGGGAATAATTGGGGGTAAAAATACTAGTTGAAGAAGTTAGTCACCTAATTGTATGATCCTGTTGTCGTTACTGCCTGTAGAAGAGATAGTGATATTCACATTAGTGGATTTTGACTTAAGGAAACAGTGGCTTGATTGCTAAGGATTCTTTTAGAAAAGAAGGAAGATGACAAATTTTTCAACTATCTCTAGATATTGCAAGCTTCAGACAGTGTTTAATTCATGGTTGTATTTGTAGTTTCTACAGTGTTGATCCACAGACCACTTCCTTGTTACACATGTACCAATGAAAACAAAAGGCAAAGAGAATGACTCCTTTTCTAACATTCTTTAAAAATATAAATTTTGGGGCTGGCCCGTGGCTCACTCGGGAGAGTGCGGTACTGATAGCACCAGGGCCATGGGTTCGGATCCTATATAGGGATGGCTGGTTAGCTCACTGAGTGAGCGTGGTGCTGACAACACCAAGTCAAGGGNAACAAAAGGCAAAGAGAATGACTCCTTTTCTAACATTCTTTAAAAATATAAATTTTGGGGCTGGCCCGTGGCTCACTCGGGAGAGTGCGGTACTGATAGCACCAGGGCCATGGGTTCGGATCCTATATAGGGATGGCTGGTTAGCTCACTGAGTGAGCGTGGTGCTGACAACACCAAGTCAAGGGTTAAGATCCCCTTACCGGTCATGTTTAAAAAAATATATATATATATATATATATATATATATAAATTTTACAATGCTTACATCTCAACAAAGGTGGCAATGTAATAAATACGCTGGTTTATTTTGTTCTCCTCATTATTAAATGAATGTCCACAAACTGCCTGTTATAAGCCTTTTCTTTTTTGGATTTCACCAGTGTTTTGTCCATTGTTTTTTCATTTTCCCTGCAACACCTGAGACAGTACCACATGCCCTTTTGTTTATGGTTGAGTCTCGTGCCCAAGAAGTGGAACCACTCCATGAGGCACTTGTTGTCGCAGCCTATCATTTCTCCATAGGAGACCCAACTGCACAAACAATAGGTTGGCTCGGTGAATGGATTGGAAGGTCTGTAAGGGATTCTTCTCTCTCTGCTTTGGCCTTGAAGTGTTTCTCTTTCTTCGAGGTTTTTGCTTACCTCTCCTTGGGTGTTCCTGAGGTGATGTCCTCATGGTCATGATTATTAGATGCATTTTCTGGATTCTTATTGTTATGCTATCCGGGACTTCTCATTATTTGGCTTTTCTGCCTGCAAGATTGTTTCATTCTTCGACTTACCTTGGCCAGCCTTGCCGTTGTTGACAGTGCTGTGGTTGATCTCTTGATGCGCCTTAAAGAGCTCCACGTGACTGTCCACTTGTCTGGTACTGTTCTTAACAAGCTCTACCGTCTGGCTCACAATCAACTGTGGCTCTGAATCAGGGCTCTCTGAATGCAGTGTAGCACTCACCTCTTCTATGCACAAAAGAAGATTCTCTAATATCTTGCGCTTAATCTTCCCATAATATTCATCCAATTCCTTCAGGTTTATTCTCAAAGTCTCTGAGCCTGGACAAAACCCATGGTCACTCACACTTCCCCAGCCAGGTGTGGCCACACCCTTGGGGCAATAGAGAAGCAGACAAGGGCCCTCTGTGGCCCGTTGCATGGATTGCTAGGGCCTGACCAGTGGCCCAACCCCTGGCCCCTGGCCACTGCCACGGCTCCATGGCTGGAAGTCTGACATCATCTTTAAATGCTTAGATACTTTTGTAAAAATAAATCTGGCTTACAATATACTTATTAAAAAAATTAATGTCGGGCTGGCCAGTTAGCTCACTTAGGAGAGCCTGGTGCTGGTAACACCAGGGTCAACAACAATTCGTATCCCCTTACTGGCCCAATGCCAAAAAAAAAAAA